TTGGGGCTTGAGGGATTTTTGGGATTTTTGGGATTTCTTAACATGTATATAAAGAGAGGAATGTACTAGAGAAAAAGGAACAAATAAAATATTGTCCTTTTATCATAAACTCAGACTAATATCTAACACTTTTACTTATCTCGTGCCACATCTCCACGCCTCTTTCGACGTTACATGATTAGTGATCGCGACGTAGTGACAGACTTGCCGTTATCACCCCCAACAATAGTAAAAGGATGGTATTTTATTGTTGCTTTTTCTCTAATACATTCCTCTCTTTATATACATGTTAAGAAATCTCAAAATCCCAAAAATCCCTCAAGCCCCAATTAAATCCCAATTGGGCAAGGATGACATATGTTAAATCTATCTAATTTTTTGGTCCCTCTTACACTAGGATATATAATATATACAGGTAATTATTTAATATATAACAAAGACATATGATATTTAATCTTAAAAGATATTTAATATTATAATAATATGAGTTTACAAATATCAATAATTCTATTCAGTTTTACTTTTAGTTTCATTAATTAATAATATAGGATTATAAAAGTATTAAGATAATTAAAATAAAATACTAGTTTATTATTATTATTTTTATTTTTTTAGAGGCGAAGTGTATTACATGTGATAATACTAGTTTATTATTTTATTGTTTTATTTTATATTATATATATATAATCTTTAAAAAACTAATAAGATTATATGTATTATTTTAATTTTGTATTTCTACTTTATTTATTTATATTGAAAAAGCATGTATATAAAGAAACTTTTTTTCTTTTAAGAAATAATAGGATTATCTGATTTCTTTTATATTTAATAAAGTTTTTTTTATTAATTATAAATAATATCTTATTTATCATTTTTTTAATAAGAAATATTATATTGATATACTTTTTAAATAGTCAAACTACTTTTCAAAATATATAATAATGGTGATAACATAAATTTTTAATAATTAATAAAATATAATAATAATAATTAATTGATAATAATTATATATGTAATATAAATTATTTATTAACTCAATTTTCAAAATTCTTAAAAATAATTATATTATGTCTTAATTATTTATATGTTTTAATATTAATTCAATTAATTGTATTAAGAATTTATAAATTTTAATATAAACAATAATAATGGTAGTAATAATAGTTTTGTTAATATTTGTTTAATAATTAATTGGATAAGATATAAGTTAATTAATTAATAATAATAATAATAATAATAATAATAATAATAATATATTAATAGTATAATTATTATTTAAAAATTTGATTATAGTTAAAATTTTTTATTTTTAATGGTGCAATAAAATATATTGAACAATATTAAAAATTATATTTTATATATAGTATATTGTTGATTTTTCAAATTAACAATATAAACAATTTTAATATAAAGCTTTGTATTTTGTATTAAAAGAAAATTCTTTAGAAAAAAAACAAAAATATTTAAAAAATTTTATATAATAATAAGACGTTTTAATAAAAATTAAAAATAAAAAAAAGCTTTAAAAAAAGTTTATAAAAAATAATTGTTACAGTTTTTTTTTATACAATTTAATAAGAACACAAGATCTTTAAACTTGTTTTTTTTTATTAAAAATTTCATTTTGATATATTAATATACTTTTTTAATTTTATTAAAGTTTTTATAATAAAAACCAAGAAAATATAAAGAATTTGTGAATATTAGAAAGCAAAAAAAATATTATATATAAAAAAGAGTTTTTTCTATTTTTTATTAATTTCTTTATATTTAAATAATTTGTTTTTAGATTATTAATATATATGTATATTTCAATTTTTTGCTTTAATAAAACTATAGTATACTAGTAAATATTTGATACTTTTATATTAAGATTATAGATTCAATTTTTGATAATAATAAAAATCTTTAGAAATTTATTTTAAAAATTATTATTATTAAAGCATTATAATATTACAATTAAATACAATAGTTATAATTTTATATAATTTTAAGATTTGTAAATTTACAATATAGTGATTAATGTTTTTTAAGTTCAAATCTTAAGTATTTATTTAATTTCAAGTAAAAGTAATTAAACAAATCAAAATAAGTATTAGTATTGCGATTTCAGAAAAAAAAGAATTATGGCATAATGATTGTTTAGCTAATATTATAATAATTATTAAGAAAAAATTATAATCTAATGAAATATTCAATTTTGAACAAATTGATTTGATGATTTTTTTTTTTATAATGTTTGATATTTTTTTTTTGTAAATGAGATTATAAGAAAATTATATTTCAAACTAGTAAAAAACCTTTTTCTTTATTACTTGTTGTAAAAAGATTTTTAAGTAATGATTTTAATAACAATAATAGTTATTATCGGAAGAAATAGGGACAGGTTGGATACATCAGGCGGCTGCTATGGGTTTACCCGTAGTATTACCATGGTTTTTTAATTCATAAAATGAAATTTTTTCATTTTAATATTGACACGAAAAACGAATTTCTTTTTCTTAAATAAAGACCATGAGACGCTATCTTGTTTTATTTTTTAAATGTGACCTTGTATTTCAAGTGCATCTTGATGTTGAATATGTTATATGTAAATGAACAAGGGTATCAAGACATTTCACCGGCAACCAGGATGTACAGTAATTAGATAATTCAATAATTTGATATTGTTTAGGTCATTCTTTTTTTAAAAATAGCAACTTGTAATAAAATAAAATAAGGTGATTTTTATCCAATCAACTTATGTTTACTGCGTGTCACAGATGCTTCCATATGTAATATGGCTAGTACAAATGGAGGCATCTGATAACCCATTTTTCTCTCTCTTCTTTTTTCTTTTTTTGATGGAGCAGCTAACCCGAGAATTACAAAAGCAATCTCTGTTTATCGATAGTTTAAGCTTAAGGGTTAATCAGTTAGAAAGTTTGGTCAAATCACTTGATTCAGAAAATGCAGAAGATTCGGAATCGGATTCATTCAAACAACGAATTGGAGATCTTGAAATGGACTTTATTCTTGGACGGAAAGAACAAGAAACTTACAAAGATGAGATCAAAGGACTACGACAGGAGAATAACGAACTTAAACAGCGAATTGCGAAACTCGAAGCAGACTTCGTGCCTAAACAAAAGGAAGAGGAATTTGATAAAGAAGAAATTAAGAAACTACGCCGCGAAAATGACGAGTTGAAGTCGCAACTCTCAAATATTTACCTCAACAAACTGCTGCTTCCCGACCAGAGACTTGAGGTTCTTGAGCAAGAAAACAAGGATCGAAAAAGTCAAATCGTTCAGGTCGAAGAAGAAATCTCAAAGATCAAATCCAAGATTGTGAAACAACTTGAAGATAAACAGCGAGGAATGGCTTTAGCACTATGGGATTACAATGGTGCCGATTACGGAGATCTTTCGTTCAAAAAAGGAGACATCATATGCGATATCGTTCCGGTAAACAAGGATTGGTGGAAGGGGAAAACGAAGGATGGAAGTTCAGGAATATTTCCAGGTAGGCAGTTTTCGGTTGATGGAGAAGGGATTTAGGAAAATTGGTTACTCACACTCATTTCTCATGGCAGCGACGTATGTAAAGATGGCTGAATGATTGACGAATCCAATCCTTTGGGAGTAATAAAATTTCGATACGGAGCGCGGAGTCCAGAGATCATTTGCGTCAAAAAACCCAAATTAACACACCTCACATGAAAAACCTCACCAACTCTATTGTATATACATGTACATATTTTGTAACAGTATTCGATTATGATCATTCTTAAAAAATTTTTGTAGCATATGGATTAATCGCATCACACCCACGGTATTTTAAAATCAGTCAAGTGTATAAGTATAGCATTTTACCAATCAATATAAAATCCAACCATTTTAAAACAGTGTGTGATAAGTAGCTTGATGCCTGTAAATGTGTGATAAATACGTATACTGTAAAATATGTGTATACATACCAGTAAAGTTATTATCGAACTTCGATTTTAAGCAAAGGTAATGTGAAACCTGCTTAGATAAACTGAATATGATCAAATGTTTGTTATCGTCACATGTTGCAAGTTGCCGAACTAAAATTTTTGAACATATTGAGATGCTCAGAATTATTACTATATAGTATCTCATATGGTTGTAACAAAAAATGAGTAAACCAGATCACAGCAATTACCGTATTAATCTCTTTTAATATACTGTATTTGTTTGCTTATAAATTCACGAGCACGTCAAGTTACTTGTTTTTGACGATTGGATTTTTCGCGTAAAAACCTTCGTAGACGAATTCGTATGACCATCGTTTCGCAGGTGCACATACATAATACACACAGTAAGTACATCCGTAAATTACGTAAATGTGTCGAATAAAATTAGCAATAGAAAACCCCGAAAAAAATTCCATATTTATCGGTCCTTTGTTATTTTGGGAAAATTCGATTTCGCACGTAGGTGTGTGTATACAAGAGAAAGCATTGTACCATCCAGGAACTCGACCTCAATCATCAGGCGTCTCTGTTTTTCTTAATGGCGCATGTACAGTACGTACGCATACAGTGTTCCAACACGAAAGATTCCGTAGTATGAACACTAATTTTTGCATAATTAGCGCATCTATTTGTGTAGTACGTATTTTTATCAGTTACCGTATATCGTAATGCACCGCACTTTGCGGGTTTGACTGAATACGTAGTGATCGTTATCTATCACACTAGGCTTCGCCGTTATTGCACAGTGGTGCCGCCATTGCTTGCATTACGCATTTTTTAACATTAACCAAAGTTTTCCGTGTGTAAATATTTTAGAAGATTTTTGGAAATTGATTTTGTTATTACTTTGTGCCAAAGCGAGAAAGGTGAAATTACAGTATGTGTGAGAAACATCTCAGAATTATTGTTGCCGTCTGCCCGCCGCCCACTTATTTACCCATCCATTCACCCATCCATCCTACCCGCCCACCTCATTTATCACTCGTTCACTTAGTGACAACAAAGACTGCATTTGCCCGTGAAAGTTGAGTTTTAGTCGCATACAACGATTTTGCATGGGATCAACCGGGTAATTGATTTTGATAGAGTAAGTGTGATCGATATGATCCTAATTTATACGTGACAAATGACGCTCGTGATCATTGAAAACGAGAATCTCATCTTTTTTCGTTCATAAAATCACTGTAAATCAAGAAAAAATCACCCTCTATCTATATTAGCTACGTATTTACATTCTGACATTATTTTATAGCAAAACTAATCAAAGTCCGATTCACACGCCGATTACAAGCACCAAACAATGGTTATTTGTGAGACTGTCACCTCAAAATTGCGGGGATTAGTGAACAGTCATATGACCGCTTCATCAATCAAAAGAATGTCGGTGCTAATTCACTGCTTCGCACCGGGTAACACCAATTGTCGTTGAAAAAAGTTCGTTGAGGTAGTAAAAAATGCATAAAATGGTACCATTTGGTCGAACCTTATTTTTCTCATCTTACGCACGTACGTATTATACTGAACAAAGTACTTTGCCTGGACGTAGTAGTATTCGATAAAGCATATATAAAATTTGATTTCGGTTTTATTCTGGTTTTGATAATTGGAATACAACTGTTCTATCTCGAAATTCAAAATTTTTCCTTCATCTCTATCATACACATTACAGTATATAGTACGTACATTCGCATACTTAAAATTCCTTAAAAATCCTCAGTTGACTCATTGATATCTTCATACCTTCATTGTGGTAATCCCGTTTTTGCCTCCTTGGATCACTTTCCCCCAGTCACCTATCCCCTCGCTTTGACTATTTTCCCCCATACTCGAATTTTCTTTCTCGAGCGACCGTAGCATCATCTTCTGAAGCTAAAATATGGCACTTAAGATGTCCGAGAATTTGACTATGACCGAAACTGACAATTTTTCCCTCTTGTATCAAAATTTCGAGAATCAGTTCATGGAATTGTTGAGAATGAATCCGTTTACCTTGTTCTTGCAGAAACAGGCCATGGAAATCGATCGTCTGAATAAACAATTAAGGGACATGGAATTCAAATTTGGTAATTCTACGAATAATAACATCTCGCTTCGTGTTAATTGCAATAATTCCTTACAATGAACCTTTTATAGAATCTTGCATCAACTATACCGACCTCGAACAACTTAAATCCAAGATCGGCGAAATTGAAATTGACTTTCAACGTAAACAAAAGGAATCCGAATCGTTAAAATCTGAAGTCAGATATCTAAAACAAGAAAACAAAGATCTGAAGAATCAAATATCGCGCATGACAAAGGATCTTAATCATTTGCAGACTTCGGCCAAGGAGTTTGATGAGGTGAAGGAAAGAGTCGTCGAAATTGAGACACAGGTTCAACAAAACGTTGAAGACAACATTGCCATCGAGATTAGGGTGAATAAGTTGGAGAGGGCTCAGTTGATCAGGGACGTGGCATCAGCAAAGAATGAGAAGATTAAGTTGAGGCAGTATTCGGGTAAGGTCTTTTCTCAATGCTAACTTTGGTACAACTTCACGCGCACATTATTAAATATTCGTTCGTCTTCCCTTTTGTTGACGTTTAGGCGATTCGAAGTTCAAAAAGATTTCTCAAATTCACGAAAAATACAAATCCCCTTTGACCTCGGAATTACGAGAGAGGATCCTAAAATCTATAGATCTGGATCCATCGTACACCCAAAAGAATTTACTACCCGCCTATAACTTCTTTCACGCTTTGAAACAGTTTAGCGATAGATTTTTACAGGGCGAAGATCTGAACGAAAGTTCATCGTTGGCCACGTATTTGTGTGATCCGACGTTAAATTTCTGGCCTGAGATCGTGTCCGAAAAACTGGTAAAAAATTTATTCCCGGACTCCCTGATGGTCAAGCATACATTTGCCGCTTATGACTTCATCATTGTAAGTGTTAACCTTGAGATTAATATCACTTTGTATCATGTATAAATTGCTCGTACTAATAATATGTTGTGATCTCGATAAAAGGAGCAAGCCTCGAAGTATCACGAGTTCGCTGAGAACAATAAGAAAATCCTTGAAAGCTAATTGGCAGTCGACATAGAGACGGTGATTTTGTCCGCGTACGCACATAGTCGTTTAGAAGACGCCATTGGTTGGCGGACACATAACATATTTTTTATTTTATTTATTTGCATTTTATTTCCTCTTTTCCTACAGCAACACATTAACGCTTAAATATACCTATTCCTCATCTTAATTGTATCAACCTAATTTTTTTTTATTTGGAAATCTTTTAAAAACTTTAAAGATAGCCATCGTAATCTACTCACCATTGAAAATCCAGTTTATCATTTTCATAATACTGTATGCGTTTTTTTTTCACATTCCATAGATTCGGATTTCATAGATTGATTCATAGAGTCCGAGATCCTGTATTCAAATATTAATAAATACATTCGGATTAACGGAGATACGTTGCGATTTTCCGGATTTCCGAAAATATAATGACTGCCGCCCAAATAATCGGTCATGTTGTTGCTCGATACTCTAAGCCCTTTACATTTCCATTCCGAGATGTGCTGCTCGACCGTTATTTTCTTCATTGACAAAATAACCCGAATTTGTTATTTCTTTATAATTCTGAAGTTTTATAAAAGAACGATCCTTTCTCCCAAGAAGTAAAAAACAAAAAAAAAAATTCAATCGAATTCTATTATGTCTGAAAATCTGTGTTCCCCTTTTTATCGTATTCAAGTTCCCTTTCCTCCATCAATTACTGCGGATGAAATAATCAAAAAGCATTTGGAAAAGGGTGTCGATAATGCCAATAGAACATCAAATGCTTTTCTTATTTACAGACATGCTTATAATCGTGAGGCTATAAAATTCGGTTTTACACATAAGGACATATCCAGATCGGCTAGTAAGTCTTGGAGAAATGAACCAGAGTACGTCAAAAACCACTACAAGAAAATGGAGACCGATATTAAATTAAGGTTTAGAGAAAAGGTGCCAATCTGTTTCGTTAATTCCCAAAGTAAAAGGTCCGTTAGAAAAAGACGTAGAATCGCCGATGCGTCTATGGCGAAAATTAATCAAATTTCGCCTACTATATCCGCCTCCTCCCTCCCTCACAAAACTATGGAATGGAACCACCGAATCAATACGGACGTGACCGGCGACGCTTTTACGGCCACTCTCTCTGAGGATTTGGCATTGACATATATGGCAATCATGCAATCTCTGCCTTTTTGAAACATAACTACACTTATTATACCATCTGCACGCGCGGGGGCGTAAGCTTAATCCATCGAATTTTCATTCGCTGTAAAAATTTTTTCATAGAAAAACGATAATGTCCTATTTGGATCATTTCTGTATTTAGTTTTTTTTTTTTTTTTTTTTGTTAATAAAAATTTAATTCTTGAAAAAAATATATCAATATTCCAAATTCTATCTTGATATCGTTACGACTGCAATATCAGGTACTTCTGGTACAACATCGAGGTCACCGTATCTCGTTGCTTAAAATTCAAATAATAATAATTTTGATTATAAATAAAATAAAATCAAATATTTCCGATTGTTGAAAAAAAAAAGTATCATTATTATTATTATTTCAGAATATTTCTTCGCGGTTCAAATTATGCAATGCCATTATTTGTCCAATCATATTTTCCATTTGCCATAATATCTATTTTATTAAAAAAATTTACAAATACAAAAAAAAAACTTTTTTTAATTTCCTGTTTTAAAAAGAAATTTTCAAAAATATTGATTTATAATTATTTAATCAAAAAGTACTAATGAAATAAGGTCAAATATATATATAATATTATTAATACCTTTTTTTTTATTTATTGTAAATATAACTTGGTTAAAAAAAGACTTGAATCAAACCTTTTCAAAAAAAAAAAAGTCTTTTAATTTACAATAAGATCTAATAAAGTCAATATCTACTATTGCTATTATAGTTGAATCTAGTCAAATTTAATATTAATATTATTTGATTATTTGATTTTATTTTTATTTTTATTTTTTATTTTTATTTTTAATATTATTTTATAAAATTAATATTGAAAATCTTAATTATAATAAAGAAATATTGGTATAATTTAAAATAATTATATGTAACTATTTAAGTTTTATATTTTGAAGGTGAATTCATATATCAGATAAGATTTTCAGGAAAGTAAAAAATTCTGTCTTTAGTTTTAAATTATCTACTCTTATTTTCCAATTACAATTATACTATCATAAAAAGATCATACTAAAGTATTATTTGTAAAAGTTAATCTAAAAACATTTTAATTATCTTTTAACTATGCTAAAATTAATCTTTAAAGAAATAAACCATGTTAATACTTAATAAATTACTTTATTACATTATTTTTTAGTTTATATAACTATAATTTTAAAAGGTATTTATTATATATATATATATTAATAAATACTTTAAAGTTTTGATTTTTAATTAGTACAAACTATCAAATTTAAAAAATAAGTAACCAAATGGATTATAATTTCAATTTTCTTTCTAATAGATATTTAAAAAAATTTAATTGACATAAATATTAAATATAGATATATAAATATTAAGTAAAATATAACTTTTATATATTAATATTATTACAGTGAAATATAATGAATCTGTTACTTCTGTTTTTCTATGCTATATAATGATGAAAAATAATTTCTTCTCAAAAGAGATATATATATTTGGCTTGAGTTTGACAATAATATAGGTCAATTTGTCAATTTTACATTACAAATAGTAATCTTTTGCATGATCACTTCTTGGTTAGTAATCTTTTTCAGATAAATAACTTTTTTTGATCTATAGTACTTATTTTCCTTTTCTCTTATTTTTGTATTATTATTTTACTTTTATATTTTTTAAGCCTTATAATTTATACAACTTTATACTTGTTATTTATACTTGTTATCCATATTGTACTTGATAATTATTTGCTATTACTTGTTATTCTTGCTATACCAGATAGATAATTCAAAATATTAAAATATACTAGAAATACTTAACTTTAACATGTCTATTATATATATTTTTTTATATTTTTCTTATTTGAGTTTATTATTTATATAGTTTATTTTTCATCTTAATAATATCATAAATTATTCTAAATATAATTATATATTGATATTTATATTAAAAATAAATTCTTAAATTATTTGGTATATAAAATTTTGCAGATTATTTGTTTATTATTTTAATAGAAACATAATTCAAAAAACTCTGGAATTAAATAATTTAATTGTAAAAAATCATTATAAATAATTTTTTTTAATGGTATAGAATATTTTAATTATATTCTTGTTTTTTAATTTATATTAATAGGTTTTTTTAAAATTAAATTATCATATTAATATACTATACTATAAAATCAACTATATTAAAAGAATTATAAATTTTTTATAAAAGTTAAACAAAAGTCTTTTCTTATATAATCTTTGTTACTTTGATTTGTTTTTAATCAACTATTATTAAAAAATTCAAAAGTTTTATCTTTCTATAATCTAATTAAATTTTGATTAGAATCTAAATATTTAAGTTATAATATATACAAAAATTAATCTAATATAATTATTTAAGACTATTAAAATTAGTTATATAACATAATTTTGAATAATTTAAAAATTATTATTCTAAAATAAATTTATTTTTATTTTTAATATATAAATAAAAAATAAGTATATAGTTTTAAATCACATGTAAAATAATTATTTGTTTTTGTAAACAATATATTTTAAATAAATTTTACTTTAATCTTAATTTTTTTTTTCTTTTTTAATAAATTATTGTTATTTATTATTCTTAATTTTATTATTTTTAATTATTAAATTTTTGTATTTTTATAAATTAATTAATATCCCTTAAATCATAAGATATTTTTTTTATAATGTTTAAAATTTTTTAACTAATTCATTTATTTTTTTAAATAATCAAAATACACACCCCTACCATAATTTACTGAAAAATTTAATTTTCACGAAAAAAAATTTTTTTTTTCACGTTGCGCAAGTACGTGTCACTATTTTTTTTTATTATAAGCATCCAATTTTTTTATGTTTACCAAATTAGGTCCTGATCGCTCTTTTTCAAAATAAACATGCGAGGAAAAGCGTTGTCAGTTGCACAGCGCGAACGTA